CACTTTGCAGACGGCTAGGAGAATGCAGGGTTCCACTTTCCACAAGTGGGAAAGCGAAGCAGGGGACTAGCTAGGAGCCAGCCGTACTGGGAGAAAGAGCACATGGTTGCCTTGTATTGTTCCATCACGGCTGCCCCACTGCACGCTAAGCCCTGGGTAAGCAAAGGGAAGAAAGAAAGAGGAGGCTGCGTCCGGGGTTCGTAAGCCAATGACTTCAGTCCCTGAATCAAAGTTACTGGTTATGCAAATCCAAAATGACACAAGTCTTTCCCTGAACCCCTTCATTCTGTGACGTACCATCAACACCATCTGCCGTTTCGCTTTCTTCTTCTTCTTCTTCTAGCATTTCAAAGGGAGTCATTATATCATAGAGGAATGAGAGGAAACCATAAAACCAATCTGAACTTTCCTCTGCTAAAATATTAAGGACTTCCTCAAGAGAATCAATATTTTCATTACTGCCATCTTTGGTCAGGCCTACATAAGAATAAAGGAAGAGAGAAAGACAAAATAAGGAGAGCAGTTAGGTGGAAAAAAAAGGAGTGGAGGAAGCGTGATCTCAAAAAGGCTGTGCATCATGGCCAAGGAAGTTTACAGAAAAGACATTTTGGAAAATAAAGAAATCGATTAAGATGCACACCCAACAATCAACTCTCAGCCACATGTATAAGAGGAAAGGCAGTGTGACCCAACCTCTCCGTTCCTACCAGCCCCTGACTGGGCTTGCCTTTGTCTTTCGAGAATCTAGAGCCAGAAAACACAAGATGGTATCAGCCCAAACGGACTGCCTGACGTCAGTGGGAAAAGTGAGTGAAAGCAGTCTGAGGAACAAAAAGACAGACCCCTCTGACTACCCCCACACCTGCTCATTCAGCGACCCGGTATTACCGAGAGCTGATGAGACAAACGTGTATATACGTCAATAAATATTCACCGGAAGTGGAAAACGTTCATTGCCTCAAATGTTCCCCCTTAGGAGCTGGTAGTGAATTTAGGAAACTGGAATTCACATGACTAGCAAGCAGGGTGACTGTTCACAGCTCCTACAGAGGGACAGCAACGTGCTCAAGTCATATGTATCAGGTAACCCACTTAGGTTGTAGCACTGTAGAATGTTAGCTTTCTAATGCTCTGGCTGCTGACTCGTGGTCCTATAACTCTGACCAATGAGAAGAGTCAGCTATTAATAACAATTTGCTCAGTCTTACCGGCATGAAACATGACCGAGGCCTCCACCAGCCACCTGCAACAGGAACATTCCGGAGTTCCCTCCCTATCAGCTCGTGAAATTAGCTTCTGCTGCTAAGATTCCTGTTGTTTTTAAGTCTTCGCCCCAAAACAAACGCCCGTGATAGAAAGCAAGCAACATATATATGGTTTTTCATCACTGTTCTTTCCTGTGAAGAACCGGCCTTGGGTAAGACCAATGTCTCGGCTCCAGTAGGTAGCAGGGTCTAATCTACACTGTCTGGCTCTATGCAGCAAGAGCTACAATTTTTAGGGGAAAAAAAAAAAAAACGGGTTGAGGGTTCTGGCTGTAAGAAACGTGCACATGCATGACTGCAGAGCTTTTTAGATTATAACCACTTAATTCGGTATTTTCTGGCTTTGGCAACACAATTCCTCCACACAGCCTAACTACTGGCAATCCAGTCTGGCAGGTCAGAGATGATAACAAGACAGCTAGTTTAATGTTAAAGATTGGAGTGAGTTTTTCCTGCATTAGTCCATAGAGGAACTCCACCGGGCCGGCCTTCATGTGTCTGGGTAGGAAAAAGCCATAAATCGCAGTTGGTATTTAAATTATTTTTTGACCCACCCAGAAAGTTTCCTCTCTGAATCTAACAGTTGACACGTGCTTGGGACAGAGATCCGTATTCCCACCCAAGCCTCTGTGGGAATAACAGTTTCTTCTTTCCGTCCAAAAACACTACAGCTGTATATTTAGAATAAACATTTTTATTTTTCTCATTTTCCAATCTAAATGCTTCCAAGGGTCGAGCATAAAATATAAACCTTTCCTGACCTCCAGTATGACGAGCTAAAGTGCGCGACAAACATGCAAAAGTATGTGAACAAAACTATTCAGCCAACTGCGCAGCCTTCTTGCGGTTCTTAAGCCTGAAGAGAAAAAGAAAATATATTCTGGGTACACAATTCCTTAACGTCTAAGAGCAGGTCTGGACCAAGGAGCAGGGTGTGAACGCTGTTGATGGGGCGAGATCCAGCCCTCCCTTCTTTTCAGCTCACTCAGGCATCTGTCAGTCTACAAACTTTTTTCAAGGCTCTAGGAATTTTTTTTTTCAACTTATATTTTTTTCAAGACTGTATGAATCACTTTCCCTTTCGCTTTCCAGCCATACCTGATACGGTGCCAGCTAGACACTGGTCACAGGACAGAAGGACAACCGTGGAATCCACAGGTGGTTTTACTCTAAGAAAACGTTACTCAGCATTTAGTCCTCTTTCCCACAGATTTTATTTGGCAAACAAGCTTTCAAAGAATTCACTTTCAGACAATGTAGTGTCTGATAATCCAAACTAAAAATCAAAGATATTTTATTTTAGATAATTTGGCCGCAAAAGTCAGAAGCTATGTAAACAAGAACAGGCTTAGACTGTTTTCAAAATACATCATAAAGGCCACCGCCAGAAATAACGAAATAATAAATTAATGATGGCTATCAATCTTGATTCACTCACGTCTTTCAGTCTTGCTTTACAGTTCCTAAGAAGGCGAAATTTTGAAATGTGAAAGAAATGTAAACATGAACGTATACATTTCCTCAAAGTAATCAGATTTAGATGCATGCAAATTTACTTAAGACTCCAGAAAGAAATACTAATGAAAGAAATGCCAAACCTATGAAAGTTTGGCGTAACTATTACCACACCTGCCAGGCCAAGGTCCCACCTAATCTCTGACTTCCTGCTTGCACCCCTCCCGGGGGACTCCCTCTGCCTTAATTCAGAGCAACTAGCCTTGAGCTGCTTCTCCAATGAGAACACACCCAGGAGGTCTGGCTCCTTTTGGGGGGACACACTCACTGAATCTGCTCCCCTGTAACCTCTCCCTGAACATACCGAGCCTCTGAACCCCGACAATTTCACCAGGTTCTTGCAACCACCTGCCAGTAACAGAGGCACAACCTCACAAACTAGAAAAGAACTTTTGTCACAAAATTCAGTTCCAGTCAAGGTTGTATTTCATGCACAGAATTCAAACGCCATAGAAATAAGGTGAGGACAAAAGCGAGCCTGACAGTTCCCGTCAGGTTTCTTTCATCTTTACCAAAACCACAAACCAACTGTGAATTAGTACATGTACACAGTAAAAGAGCCGATCTTAGCCTTTGTGCATTTAGCAGTCAAATTACCAAATGAACCCGCAGATTCACCAATTTGGTTCTATCGCCAAGCATATGATTCTTGTAAGAGGAACGAGTTACCATTTGCCTACACCACATATGTGGCTACCTGCAAATGGCAATGTCTAAATTAGTTACTTAAACTCTTAATGGTTGCTTAAAAATATTAATGGGAATAAACTTTCGAAATCTAAAATACTAAAAATCAAGTTGCTAATGTAAGTTTGCAATAGAAATCAACATGTGATAAAAAAATTTTAATTTAATAGTTGGCATTTCCTGACAGACCAGATAGCTGATTTTAAGCACCTCCCCATCCAAAAATTGACAAAGTACAGTAATAAGTACAGTCTGTCATTTAAAGTAAAGTAACAAAATGGAGTAATAAATCATTCATAGGCAAGCAAATTAGCATCATCCTGATATAAGGTTTATATAATTTTCTTTCTTTCATGTGCCCAGGATTATAGTCTTCTGAAGATTTGCTATATTTATAGAAACCCAAATGACAAAATTACACAGGAAATTCTATTAAGGTTAAGACAGGGAAAGAAATTTCATGGATACGATGCTTTCACTGTTAAGCAGCAAATACGATTCTCACCAAGCAGTACAAGAAAACATAAAGTCAAAATTAAGCAGCTTTATTACATTTAACCACAACTAAAATGTGTTGTAAGGAGGTTAATCTACTGAAGTTTCACTGGTTACAGATGCAGTAGCTCCCATTTTTTTTGCTATCCATAAAATACACCCAAAATTGTGCACCTAGAAAGAATTTCTTTGTGTCATTATTCTATTAAACTTAATGTAGGACACCTTGCCATATTCATTGCTTTTCTAAATACTTAAAAATGTTTTAATACATATTATCTTACATACTAAAACAAAGGAAAGGATGCTGTTTAACAAGCAGAAATACATATCTCACTGGGCCAGATTATATAAAATTTGCTTATTAAAATTAGCACCATGCTTTCCAGTATGAAAGCATTTTAAAATAAATGAAGGAATAACACATCTTTATTACAAAAAAAAAATCTCAATCATAAAGACAGGTAATTCTGGTGATAAAAGAGAAGGGTCCAAGACTTAAAAAAAAAAAAAATCAAGAAACCTGGCCAAAGACTACTAGATTATATTTTAATGTAATCTTTCAAATATGCATAGGACATTTCAGGATGCTTACTACCATTATCTTATTTCAAGATGAATTTATATAAGCCTTTAGAAACTTATACTTTCAAATAGAACTGATTATGTCAAACAATGCTAAAGAATGAGTGTGATTACCACATTTGAAAGCAGACTAGGACATTTCCTATATGTTCGAATGTTAAATTCAGAATATAAAATGCTTTAAATCTAAAAACACGTAGGAAATTACTTTACTTATTAAAATCACCTGTGCCAGAGCGCTATACTTATCCATCTGTAAAAGTAAATTGAAATGTGAGAGTCTATGAAAAAATAAGTAAGCCATTTAACATCCCAAAAAGAATGAAACATATGATTTAATCGAGAAAACGTCTTCCATAAAATGTAAATGATTGACACAGACATTATTAAAGCAAAAAATACTATTTTGTTTCCAACATTTTACCACCAATAAAAAACAAAATGTGTACTTGCCTAATAAAACTTTGGCATCATCCACATCAAAATCTCCATCACCATCAGCATCGTAGATTCCTAGTTTTCCTACAAGAGGGGAGGAAAGATAGATACAAGACAAAAGGGAAAACAAATTTAATACGGTGTTACCACTGCTTACAGTCCTGCATATCATCCATTGATGCTACCAACCAATGCAACTCTTTGCTCCTTTAATCCTGAAGAGCGATGCTAAATGAATATCTCACCTAAAAATGAAGGCAGTTTACTTAGAGATTCAGAAAATGTTCACCTAACAAAGCTAAGAAATATAACTGAGACAGTATTATCTTAAAGGGTTTAACAATACCCTGAGAGTGAATCATTTCAGAATAATATATATATTTTTTAAATTTTACTGCTAAACAAATTTTTAGGTAAAATTTTCAACATAAAGAAGAAACAATACTGATCCATTTCTAACAAGTTACATGAAATTTAATGTTCCTAAAGTATAGAAGTTTCTCACACCATCAGTATTCAAAGCAAAAGAATACCCACTAAGCCTCAAATAAAAACCAAATATAATTAACACCAAGTATAAGAATAAGAGGATGACTAATTTTATATTTTACAATAATGATTTATAACAGAAGCATTATGAGTCAATCTTAAAAAAAAAAAGGCTTCTGGAAATAAAGTATGTAAAACTGGCTTTTTGAAATTACAAAGGAAAACTTACAGTCGTCCTATTTAAAAACATAATTAGTACCAGCCACTTGCTACTATGGAAAAAAAAATAAGGCTTAGAACAGCTAAGCTGAGAAGACAGTGCTAAAGCCATCCTGCTCCAAGAATAGCAAGTATATATTTTAAGGCTTTAATCAAACAATGAAGCTTTATCATCTTGGAGCACCATTATGTTTAGCCTATCAAAAATGAGTCCAGTACTATTCAATTCCCTCTAAACATCCTAAAGTCAACATGATTTACAGGTCATCATTGGACAACGGCTGCAAAAAGACAATAATTTAATATTTTAAACAATATTTCAAACCACATTCACAAGTACAGCATCAGTTTTAAAAAATCAGCACTGCCACCACTTGTTCATAAAAAGTAAATTAAAACATTACATTAAGAGCAGGAAGAACCTTGAGAACCGAGTGGCTGTGACCAACCCTGACCCCCCTGCAGCCTCTGTGCTACTCGGGAAAACAGTTAATTTGCCGTGGAGGAGTCTATTGTACACAGCACACACACATTAAAAAGGATAATCTGAATAATGGAGAGAGAAGGAAGTTATCATTTCTATATAACCCGTTTCTAAGAAAATATAAATGAAAAGCACTCATCTTGCAGTCAAGGCTACCTATAGCTCAGAGTTCAGATAACATTAAAAAGATAGAAAACACCCTTCTTCTGACAAACTTAAAAGGGGAAACTGGTCCCACACCTACATTCCCTGATGGAGGTGGTAACCAAATTAGTAGCCGTTTTAGAGACCAGCACATGCAGACTTAAAATGCATCGCCAACGGCCTACCTTGAAGTACCTCTGATAAGTTATAACGGAAGTCCTTGGCTTTGGCTGCATGCATGCAAAAACACGAAAATTGTTATTCGCACTTAAAGACACACATCGTTTAAATCTCTTCTTTTGTGTAATAGACTTTCCCTAGCAGCGTATTACTGTAGGTCAACCAAAGTACAGATCTATGCAGAAGTTCGTCTCCAAAGTAAAATTCTTCCTCTGTCACTCTACCAGTCTATCCAGACACTTGCCTCAAAGTGAGAAAAATGAGACGCTTCAACAACAGGCAGATTCCATGTAAGGGCGCTTTATCAGTCTTTGCCTCTCCCCCCAGGGAGACGGCTATCACCTGGTAAGTAAAGCAAAACCCCAGGAGGGCCTATGGAAGGGGGGGTTTTCCCTGCAACACTGCACACGCAGAGAAGTGTGCGTTGTTTTCCAGTGACAGGGCTCACATCTTTCACTGGATTATTAAAGAGGAAGGACACTCACTCACAATAGCCAAAAAGTGGAAATGACCCCAATGTCCATCACTGATGAATGGAAGAGTAAAATGTGGTGTATCCATACGATGGAATATTATTCTGCCATAACATGGGATCAGGGTCAAACCTCGGAAACACCATGCTAGGTGCGAGAGGGCAGACACAAAGGGCCGCATGCTGTATGACTCCATCCACACGAAACGTCCAGAACAGGCAAACCCATGGACACAGAGAGTGCAGCAGTGCTTGCCAGGAGTGGAAAGAAGTAGGGGATGGGAATATTCTGAAATTAATGATGATGATGACAGCACAAAATAATGAACATGTAAAAAGCCAGTGAATTGTACATTTTTACATATTTACAATATTGAATTTTATGTTATGTTAAGTTTTGTCTCAATTTCAAAAAAAAAAAGACTTGGTCAGGTGAAACAAAGAGTATGGCTCCCAAAATTGTACAGAATCACTAATGTAAAAATCATAAAAAAAAAAAACTGCAGTGATTACAGGGAAAGAAAAGGAAAGGAAAAGCCAGTTATCAGAAGCAACATGACACCTTGCTCGAAACAGCCTGCAGACCACATCTACACATGCACGTGTGCATGCACACTCCCACATCACCCACACAGTTCCAACAAGGACACAGAGGGGTGTGCTTTGAGATGCCCTCCTCAGGCAGGGTCTTCCAAATTGTGTGTTTATGACACATTCATGGGGGGATGAGGGTGTAGCTCAAGTGGCAGAGAAGGTGCTTAGCATGCACAAGCAATCCCCAGCACCTCCTCTGAAAATAAAGAAATAAACAAACCTAATTACCTCCCCCTCCAAAAAAATAAATAAATGATCCATTTATGGGTCCTTAAATAAATTCCGTGGCTCATGACCAGTATTTTAAAAATTCATAGTATAACAAAATGGAATAGAAATGATAGAATATCGCATGTCTTTGAGAGTAAGTACTATTTGATAAACATTTCTGTGTGGTATACATACAACATAAAGCCTATTTTTTTCTACTAGAGATCATGTTCAAAGAAGTTGCAACCACTGCTCCAAGGTAAGCCTGGTAACACCCCCTTTTGTTCCTGCCCTACTGAGAACCACTGAAAGGCTCCAGAAATCAACGGCATCAGAATCCTTACCTAACACTTCCTCATAGTCAACCAGATCAAACCAGACGACAGCTACAGATGTCCACACTCCCAGCAACGCGATGACCATAAACCACGTGAAAAAGGAACCCCCAGAAAGTCCTCCTTTCTTCCCATTCTTTTGTCCTCCGTGCTTTGCCTCTGTTAAGAAATAAAACAGACGTACAAATGTCATTATCTAAGAAGAAAATGCAATTCTATTGAAACTCTTTTCACTGGAACAGTTCCCCAGGAATTTGACAGTACTTACAATGATAAATCATTTCCAACATAGTTTTTGTTTAAATTCCCAAATCATGTTACAGAAATGAAGCACTGAAACTGGGAAAGACTATGCTCAGACTCAACACCACACACCTAAGACCCCAACATCAAAGGAATGAAAGAAAGAAGCTACTAATGGGCTAACAATTTTTTAAAATAAAAATTGATAAAACACATGTATTCCTTCCAAGTTCTTTATCCAAACTACCTAAATACAATCTTTTTCAAAGTTCACAGCATATCAAGAACTTAATGAAATCACAAATGTAGCCAAATTCTCTTCTCTGTCCCATTTAGTTTCTGTAGAATCTTAAAAACTCTGTTAAATGCCATAGAAAAAGCTCCCCCCACTCCCACCCCCACCAAATGCTCCATCTTCTTAGCCAGAGACAGACAGAAGAAGGAAGGAAATTATTTATAGGAAACAGAGGTCGGGGAAGAAGAGAAGCCACACAGGACAGTTCATTCTTCCTCCTTCACGAAACCCACTGGGACCCACGGAAACAGGAAAAGGTTTTCACAATTGATCTCAATGCAGGAAACAGCTCTGTAAACTGCTGTCTACCAGAAGTGCCATGCATCACATTTGATACGTTTAATATACTTAACACTCATCTGAAAATACTCTTACAGCCAAAAATAAGCAAAAGTAATGACAGTCAAGTGATATTAAGAGAAAATGGTCAATGCTGTCCTTAAAAGGATCATTAAAAACTCAAATTTCTCTTAAAAAGGGATATTATATAAATGTGAATAAATTAAAGGGATATGAGATACCCCCACATGCCCTTCGAGAAAAGGAAAAGCTTGTCAACCAGGCAGCAGAGCAGGACGCTGTCCTCTCCTGGTGGAGCCCAGTCACCTCCTGATTCTCATAATGGTCCTGTCAGTGTTTCTCAAGAGGGCATTTCTAGATATTTAAACAGGACAATCCTTCATCCTGTGTGACTGTTTCTTGCACTTCAGGGCAACGGGCATCCCTGGTTCTCGCTGGTCCCACAGGTAAGGAGCTCCCCGTGGTTATGACACATAAAAACGCCCCCAAATTTTTCCAAGTGTCCCTACAAGGGCAGTGCCTTGGTTGAGAATCACTGGAAGTAAGGATAGAAATAATCATCTGTTTTACAGAAAAAAGGTGAAATGACCCAAAGTCACCCAAACACAAGTTGGGCAGAGACAGGAATAAACCCTGACTTCTGATGGTCCTGAATTCCTTGATCCATATAAATGGGCCAAATTATGTGACTTCAGAAACCTCACTAGCTCTGACCTAGAACCTGCTTTCTGACTCTACATCCAGCTCTAATTAGGGAATACTGGCAGGGATATTCTAGGGGCTCAGATCAAGCATATGGTACCCACTGTTCTTGTGAAAAAGAAATACACATTTTTTAAACTAACCCCTAGAAAAGAAAACAACTTTTCAAAAGGGGCCATAAAAACTATATCAATCTTAGAGAGTGTACGTACGTATGTACACATCTTTATATATCTGTATTTAAGGATATAAACCAATGACTAAATAAAACAAATTTCATTTTTAAAGAAAAAGCCAATTTCCTTTTTAATGGTCTTTAAATATTAACAGACCCATCAATAAGAGCCAATGTGTAAATAATTCTATGATGAATTTACAGAACTATGCTTCTCAAATAGCATTTGGCCATCTCTTTCTTTCTTTCTTTATTTTCTTTCTTTCCTTCCTTCCTTCCTACCTTCCTTCCTTCCTTCCTTCCTTTCTGTTTCTAACATGATCTATGAAGAGTCTCCTAAAAGCTGTCTATATAAACATAATTTATGCATTAAAAAATACTTGCTGGGCACAGGTCATAATGTTGCTTATTAAATCTACTTAAAACAGGCTTCACTGTTCTATGATCTGAACATAGCCATGGGAGGGGAGACTAGGTAAAAATTTCTTCAGTGTTGGTGGGGGAAAATGATGATTTCCAATATTTGTACGTGTCTGAAGCATAGGAATTATAAGAAGAACAATATAAAATAAAGCACCACTAAAAATTAAAAAAGAAATAGTTTATGTAGGGGCACAGGAACACCAGATTCAATAGTGCGTTGTGTGTCTGATTTACTAAACTTTGATAAACATGAAGGCATTTTTAAGACTATATTTTAAAAACCCTTATTTCTAAATAACAAATCAATACATGCATACACACCCATTTGTATAGAATTCTAACTATAATAAGAATAATGCCCTCGGACAATATCTATTTACTTCCAAATAAGGCACTATAATAGTTAATGACTAAGGCTGTTTCTCCCTCAGTTACTTACTATCTAAGAATCAAACTTAATTTTTTTTTATTTAAAATAAACGCTAAAATGGCAGGAAAACTGGGTTCTTGTCTTATCTCCTCCTGGACATTTTGTAACTGACACCAGTCTCTGGTACTGTGTATTACTAACGAGAAAATAGTAAGACTAAATAAAGTTTATCCTTTTATTCACTCATTTAATGCATTTATTCAGCATTTATGTGCCAGACATGACACAATTTTTACTCCAGAATTAAGTTTTCAAAACGTGCACCTCAATAAAAGCACACCCCAGGCTATGCTATTTAAAATAAGTTTATAAAGAAATAGCAAATAAAACAAAACAGTCATTTGAACTCAAAGCCCAATTCTTTCTCCACTTCTACCTCTCTCTTTTTTTTCCTTTTACCTCTTTTTTAAAGCAGAAGTGGAGGGAAATCCCTGAGATTCTCAAAAGGGAAGTATCATTTGTCCAAGTTAATTCAGTAATACTTATCTAAGTTGTTGGCCTCCAATACCAAATATACGTAAAAAGTGGAAAAGGACTTTAAAAAAAATTATATAAATGCATTTACCAAAACAGAGACAAGGGATCAGAAGGGGGAAGAGAGAGAAAAGACACAGCTTTATCTAGACTCTATTTATATTTATTATAGACATGATTCTAATAACTTCAAGTTTCCTAACTTACTGCACAAAACTAAAGGACAGACTTTAAAGACTGCCTAACCTAAAGGAGTGAGTTAAAGCAACAAAGTGCTGATGGAAGAACAGCCCATAGAATGTCTGAAAGCAGCAGGGCAGACATGAGACCTGGAAGAGAGCTGTGGCAGGAGGCCATTTATAACCGATGCTCAGAGGCAAACCCTGACTAGTCCCTGACTATTAAAATAACCTTTAGTACAAGGTAATAATGATATTCATATTAATTCTGTCATTAAAATATTATTTTAAAGTGTTTAAGAATGCAAGATAAGTATAAATCTTGGAAAGATTGTCATTCAAAATGTCTTTAATTGAACTGATTTATTATTTTTAAAGGTAAATGTCAAGAAAATTATTGGTGTTCGTTAGTTAGAATATGAAATGATTATTAGCATTATTTTATCCATCACCTTTATAACATCAAATAAATGAGGTGTTACTCTAATAGTATTAATCTTTTTACTGTTAATATTTACTAATTTCATAAAGGAACAAAACAGTAAATTATAGAAAGGAGTATTTCCCAAGACATCATTTTCAGGGGAACTTTTTAATTGACACCAAATAACACACTCCTGATTTGTCACTCTGTAAATACAGAAGGCAGATTGGTTTCTGTCCAATGAAACTCAAAAAAGCACAGTAAGATAAACCCTTCAGAGAGTTTAAAACTCCCTAAGCAAACCTGAAACCAGCACTCTGTTCCAAATGTATTCTGGAAGCACACCTTGTAGCGGTCCCTCTCCTCTAAGATCAGAATCAATCTAAGAATCTTCATTTTACTTCCCGGCTCCACATTCACCCTGTAGCCCCAGGGATTAGTCAAAAACGTTTTTTAATGGGGGTTAAGAACATGGCAAGAACTGTGTGATTCATTTCCTTCCATGCTGACCCGTCAAAAGTAATAACCTCCAAATTAGAAGATGTTCTCACACACCACCAAGCACAGAGAGTTACCGCGCCGAGCATGGAATGAGTCTCTCCGACTGGATTCAGGACAACAGGCAATTTCATCTATTTGGTTAAGGAAAGGGGAAGCAGAAGACGTACCCCAGCACCTGAACAGCAGCCCATTACTCAACTGGAACTACAACTAACTTAAAGAGAAATCAACCATTTGTGAGTTTTGGTGGGCTTTATCCTGGAGATCCCATATTTATGCCATATTTATACACATTGAATGTTTAAAAAAAAAACAACTCATCAAACTGATTACTTTTCCACGTTACAAAATGTTTCCCTTTGGGAGCCAAGAACGGTTAAATGTGGGTCAGAAGTAACAGATGATTTTGCCTCACTGCGTAGATTAAGCAACCCAAGGAGAAGAGAATTGCCTTCTAAAGGAACTAAAACCTAGGTATATAAGTCATAACCTTCTTCAGGGCAACATGGGGCAGTTTATCAGAAGAGTCAAGTGACCCATTCTAACCATTTATTTAAAACAGTGTTCAAAGCAGAGATACTCATATTCTCCATACTAATAATAGAATCCTTCCAGTGGCTACTCAGGCAGCTGAGAGTTGGAAGCAGTCTTAATGCGTCTATTTTTTTTCTTAAATCCATTTTCAACATAATGAGACAACGTAGCTTGCCTTCAATCAAATGAAAAGACAATCTTAATCTACAAAGAAGAGCAAAAACAAACACATACAAAAAGTGCAAATTCAACACACTATTAAAGAACACCTGAATGATTCAATTTAAGAAAACAAAAGAAAATCCTAGTGTCTTTTCTTTGCATTTATTGAGCAATGAATGAGTTTCTCTAATACGAACAATTTTGCTTCACAAAAATTAGGTCCGTTTCCACATATGGTTAAACCTTTGCTTGTGTGTGCTCTAAGTGCACTCATTAATACAAGATAGGACTTACACAGCCCTTAAATTTCCTACAAT